CCTATAAAATTTGTTTCCCGTTTTAAATTTGTTTATACGTTCTCAGTGAAATAGCACTATTGCGGCTTTAAATTTAAATTTAATTTTTTTTTTGATATTTCAGATATGTGGCAACACCGTTTTCCCAATATTTCCTTTACAAACCTTCCACAGACAGAAAGAAAAAAAAATGAAATAAAAACGAAGCAAGTCCGTTGGACCGTTCTTGAGTTATGCGACAACACGAACAGCAATTAATTTTTATATATCGCACACCGTCTTCAAAAGAGTCACAACTCAAAATTTGGCATTTTTGAAATTATGCGCTAAAAATGTACACAGAGCTTTTATTTACCTTTCAGCAAAAGCTGGAGCAAATTTTTGTTATAATTTGTTTAAAAAACCTAAGGTAAAGTCGCACCTGCCCATATGATTAGCATGTGCTACGAAATAGTTTTTCGCATTTTCTGACGAACGTATTATTTTGAGTTGTGACTCTTTTGAAGAGGGTGTGCGATATGTTACCAGCCCAACCCGATCTTAGGAAAAACTAGTCTTGCCTAGGCTAAACTAGATCAGGGGTTACAGTATTTTTGCCAGAACACCTTTTCGGGTAGGCGGCCTTCGGCCGTACTTAAAAAAATAACCCTCATCAGTGCAACTCCAGGTACGCAGTCCACAATATTGTTGCGTCTAACTTGATTCCGCATTGGACGGATATAAATATTAGATCTAGGTAGAACTAGTTTAGCCTAGGAAAAACTAGTTTATCCTAAGATCGGGTTTGGCCGGTAACATATATAAAGATTTACAAACTAAATTGACCATAAAAAACGATTACTGTATTTCCGCAAAGGTGTTATTTTTTAATTCAATTGAAGTTTTAATGAAAATTTGTGTAATTTTCTTTAATTTTGCTCTAAGTTTGATATTTCCATTTACATGTTTTTGTTGCAGAATGAGCTCTATATTTCTAAAAAATTAACGAAAAAAAATTACCACGAAAAACCGTGATTGTATTTCTGAAAAAATGTGTTGTTTTTATTAAATAAATAGCAAAATTTGGGAAGCGTATGCGTTTCATTTGACAAGTGTTCAGATTTCACCTCGATATATTTATCATTGAAAAATTCAAATAACGAAAGATATTACATACAAATAATTACAGTTTTCACCGACGTATTGCTAGAGGTCTAACTTAAAATATAGAAAGAAAAAAATTGGAGAGTTGCCACCTGTTTGAAAATTGCAGTAAAAGTAAAAAGATAGGAAAAAGTGAATATTGCAATATGGGCGTAAAAAGAAAGAAGCTTAAGAAGGCTTACAGCCAAGAATATTGTTTTAGAGTTGCCACCTGTTTGAAAATTTTAATTTAATGTAATTTATAAGATAAACTGAATATTGCAATATGGGTAAAAAACTGAAGAGGTTTAGGAAATTCTACTGCCGAAAATATTTTTGAGGAGGGTTGCCAACTCTTTGAAAAATTTTATTGTATTAAACTGATAAAATAAATAAAAACTATATCTATGTATTAGGGCGAGTCAATTTTTTTTTCGACATCGTTCCTAGCAGATTCGGATTCTACATGAAATTCTAAGAAATTGAATTTCATTTTGAAGATTTGTTATAATCAGGGAACGGATTTTATGGAAATTGCCTTTTTTTCTGCTAAAGAGATAGAGTATATTCGATTAAGAATGTCCACGATTTNCATCTTGTGGTTCAATGTTACTACAACTATACAGATTAAAGTTTTATGAGTTAGAAACCCGAAAGGATAAAATAGTCAAAGATTCAAAGTACAAATTTTTCATATAATGAAACTAGTTCATAGTTTTTCTCTTTTTACTTGTAATATAAATGTATTTTTTGATTGTTCTTCGTATTTTCTGTCTTTTAGGTGCCTTATTTTGCTTTTTTTGTCTTTTCCTGCCTTTTTTGCTATTTTGTTTTGCCTTTTTTGCAACACCTAGTGCCTTTTCCTGCCTTTTTCGCTATTTTATTTTGCCTTTCCCAGCCTATTTCGTTATTTTATTTTGCCTTTTTTATAGGTTTTTAGGTCCTAAAAATCCGTTCCCAGGTTATAATTGATCAAAGTGAAATTCAAATAAATTATAGATGATATGAAGTTCACCGGGTCATCTTCTAGTCTTTAATATATACTAAGTTAAAATACGGAATATTTACTAAAGTGTTACGAACGTTATTTTTTTTAATACACACAATGGCTAGAGTCGTCGCATGTGTGTATTCTTTCATATACATATATATGGGCCGTTCTTAGCGTTATATATTTTTCATCCACTCGCTTATTCCTTACCTAAAATTTTAAAGAAAAAATTTGACAAGTTTTAACCGTTGATACAGTAAAGGTAACTTAATAAAGAAAACATATTCTCTGGTTAAATTAATAAGCCTGCCCGGATAACACAAAATCCTAAGCTTGATAAACATTTGGTGTTGTAAAAATTTTATAAAGCTCTACTTGTAATTAGGAAAAATGCCACAAAAAAAAATAAAATTGACTGATTGATGGATAAAAATAGAGGGAGTTATGGCTTTGACAATAGAATGTAGAAAAATTATACCTCGAGTTGAAAGCAAAAAGGATCTAAAACCAAAAAAACTATAAATACATTGTTAATCATAAAAAAATGTATGATTCCAAAAATTATTTTGAAATATTGTAAAATTTTATTTATTTTTTGATTTGTTTAAAGTAAAAATTTTATTTACTTACATTAACGAACAAAGGTATTATCACAGTGAATTTTTCGCAATTAGGCAAAGTTTCTAATTTATTTCCGATAATTTTTTATAAAAACATAGTTCATACTACACCAAAACACATAAGAATCAAATGTGTAAACTTTGTGAAAAACTCAGGAAAATTCAATAAATTTGCATACTAATTTGCAACTTTCTATACAGATTTCTTAGAAAATTTCCAAGTATGCAGTTTAATAATCCATTCAATTTTAGTTTATCAAAGTGCAAAAATTATCGGGAATAAATTATAAACTTTGCATCTATGTAGTGCGAAAATTCACTGCGCCAAAACTTTTGTTCGACACTGTACATATAAAAAAATATATACAGTAACTTCTCCTGTTACAATAGTAAAAAATATGTAATCTTGCGGTTCTTTAAATAAAAAATAGATATCAGAAATTAATTTTTCGTATCAATAAACTCCCAAGCACAGGTGTATTAAAAAAAAAAAACATCCGTAATACTTTATTAAATATTAATCTGCATATTTTATCAATTCGTCGGAATATTTTTTTTTTATCTATGTTACCGCATAACTTTGGACTACGTTACCCGTTTTCTATAATTCTTTTTTAAAGGAAAGGTGGTTCCTCCGAGGTAGTCTCCTCCTAATTGAGTGTAGATCCGATAATTGGGCCATGAAGAAAATAACGGTACACTTAAATTTGTATATGCCATATTTTTTTTTTAGTTCAACTGTGGAACATTGGAACGAACTGCTTCGGCTAATACTTCGGCTTTTGTTCTCTTTTTATCTCGAGGTTGAGTGCATTGCTCGATGGGGTGATATCATTGCCAAACATGATAGTACCTTATTTGCCATCAATAAACACTAACTTGACGGAGTTACAATATTCCACATTGATGCGAGCTTCAAAAGCTTCGAATAATATTTGCGAGTATGGCTTTTAGTTTTTACCGCAAAGGTAGGTGGCAGGCCTATAGGAAATATTTCTTAATTAATAATGTTTCAAATACTCTTCGTTTGACACCTATATTATAATACATACTTTATCTTATTACTTTAACTGAATTAAATTTTCGAAATTATTGGCAACCCGACTCAAAAATATTTTCAGTAGTAAGCTTTCTTAAACCTTTTTAATTTGATACCCATATTGCAATATTTAATTTATCTTACCAATTTAATTAAATTTAATTTAATTTTGAAACTGGTGGCAACCCCCCTCTAAAATATTTTCGCCTGGAAGCCTTCATAACCTCTTTCTTTTGACACCCATATTGTAATATCTAATTTATCTCATTAATTTACTTATACTGAAATTTTTAAACAGGTGGCACCTCTCTATTTTTTCTGGTTTTAACCAGCCGGATATTATAAAAAACAAACCAAAAAAAAAAATAAAAATATTCAAATCGGTCAAGCCGTTTTCGAGTCTTATCGAGACTAACGGACAGCAATTCACTTTTATATATAAGATATCTTCTTTTAAAAATGCGCAGGCTCGAAATTGACTTTAGTGCTATGGTCTGGAGGAATTTTTTCTTAGAATTTTATGAAGAATCCGAATAAGGTAGGAACTATGTCGAAAAAAATCGATCCATACAAATTGACCCGCCCTACTATGTATACTTATAACAAAACTAGCCAATTCCCGCTTACTTCGTGGTGCCTAATAAGAACTTTTCCGATTGATATACCTACGATGAGCTTTCCTTGTCACGGATAAATTCAAGTACTTTTCAGCTTGAGCGGATCATTTGCAAAACCCGGGGGATGAAAACAATGCAGATGTTCGCACAACAATAAACACTCTTTGTATACGAACGAATGAGTAATACAAGGGTTTGAGGAGTGTATGCAAGAGCCTTGCATTCAACTATTTACTATTAAAAATATTTTGTATGGCTTTTGTTTTTTTGAGTGATAACTCGAAAGAGCAAGAGCGAATTTTGAGCGGTCTACGCACTCTGTACTTATATAAATACATATTTACGGCCGCTGTGATGTAGTGGTAAGCAGTGCGTGCTTCCACTCTGCAGGGCCTGGGTTCAAGCCCTGGTCAAAGCAACATCGCCAAAAAATTTAGAAAAACTGCTTTTTTTTAACAGCGGCCGCCCCTCTCGTCGTTCGGAGTCGGCGTAAAACTGTACGTCCCTCCCCCTGTGCGAAAACATCAAGACGCACGCCACAAATCGGAGGAGAGGCTCGGCCAAAGACTAACATATGTGTAAGCGCCAATCTATAATTATTATATAAATACATACAATATAAAAAAACTTACCAAAATTCTGTTGTTTCCAACTTTTTCCTTGATGTATCTAATACATTCGTCTCTTCGATTCCCCAGCGTAAAACTTGGTGTTATTTCGCAGATGTCGAACAAAAAATTTGAAAGCATTTGCTTACCATTACTTGTAAGGTCCACCTAAATTGAAAACGGAAAAAATATAATATTCACTATATGGCAAATATTATGCATATGAAACAAATACATATAAAATGTTATTTTTTTAATCAGTTATTTTGTAAAAATATTCACATCTTTAACCATAGAACCCTACCCATATTGGAGTAGACTTTTCCCACCCAAGTTGCTGCAACACCCATATATTTATTTCGACATATTTTCTCAAATAAAAGTTTTATAGCATGCTTAATATTATAGGGTATATTTTGCTTTGCTGCCTTTATGCTTAAGTGCACATTTAAGATACTTACCCTAAAATTCGCATCAGCGCCATTATTTTTTAACATTTACAAGGAAACTGCTCCGATAGATGCATTCAACATACCTGCACATTAGCGATACCTACCCTAAAAATTTTGCAACTATTATCAATTATCAAAGAAGGTATTACGTTTACCTGCACTGGCCCTACAATTACCTAATTTTACAAGCTTTTATTTATTTTGCTCATTTCGCAGAACAATATAACAAGATAACAAGAATATGGCTATCAATTTATGTAGTTATAAAGCTTCTTAAAGTGTGTTCCGCGGAACCCAAGGGTTCCGTAGAAAAGTCGCCGGGGTTCCGCGAAATTAATTTTGGTATGAATAAGCATGGTGGTCGGTTTGAGTTGCACACAGAAAGAAAAGTTCTATAAACAGCTTGACCGAGACGCAATTATCTATTTTCAAGTATACGTATGTACTCGTAGTTGGTACATATGATTACCGTACTGTGTGCCATACCTACATAAGAGCGTTGAGCTTGCGCTTGCCAGCTTGTTTTTTTTTATAACCGGTATGTGTTGTTGGCGGCTGTAGCCAATGGGTTATATACAACTTTCTACAAGGAAATGTGAAATGTCCTTCTGGGCACTTGGTAAATCATCTGAAATCTTTGTCAGATTATTTTTCGGATGGTAGTAGTAATATCGGTTTGGTACAAAATCTATTTACGAAGCATTCATAGATCTCCAGAGTACTTCGACATTGTAACACACATTTGAATCTGGCTCTCTGAAAGAGTTTTGGGTCAGTGTTAAGAGTAAATATATTATGAAGTCGCTAAAAAGGCCATCTTAACTTTACTCCCTTCTGCCACAACGTACTCTGTCAACAAGGGTTTCAGCTTACACTTATACAAAAAACAGATACAGGTCGAAATTGGAAGCTACCCCAGAAATACGCATACAGCTTTCAGACATTATATCGAACTGCTATTTGATAAAATATTTACTAACAGTGAAATAATTTCATTTTTCACATTAAAATTTAAAGTATGTATGCTATTTCTAGAAAAAATTTTAATTCATATTTATATAAATTGCTCTGCCTTTTATTTTTAGTAATTTGATGTGGGGTTCCATAAAATGAAATGTGGTTAGTAAGGGTTCCATCATCTTAAACGGTTAAGAACCCCTGATATAGATAATTAGATACCATTCGGTAAAAATTTCGCTTGCAGTAATTTCTACGCGGTAAGTGCTCCTCCATTATTTGGTTTCATAGGGATTCGGATACCTTCCTCATTGCTTTTTTCGATTAAGTGCACAAGTTTTTCGTGCAGAGAAGGATGGGCAGCTAAGCAAAATATACTGTATTAGTAACACTGTGCTCGAATCAGGTCATTTTTGAACGTTGATGGGTCACAAATGGTAAATATAATTCGAGTAGGCTGATTTCAGTGATCATTAGCGTTTTTTGGTTTGGCTTTGGTTTTGAGTTATTCCAAAAAGATAAAAAAACGACTTGATATTATAACCATTTATCCATCATTTAGGTATAGTAAACATTCAATTTATAATATATATATGTATTGAACATTCAATATGTATTATATACTCGTATGTATGCACATATGTATTTGTATATATTTCTACATTTTTATATATGTTTTCTTTCCCTTTCAAATTAACAAAACTCAAAATCAACGACTTCCCATCACTTGCTATGTTTGTGTGTATTTATTTATTTTAGTTATTAATTTATTTATTTATTTCATATCCAACACAACAACCATTGGCTATATTTCAGTTACAAAATAGTTTTAATCTAAAACCCATATCTAAAGTAAGTACATTTAAAATATAAATAAGAGAAAATCAAAATTAAAAGTAAGAGTTAAGCTAGGTTTTAAAATCTATATATATAAAATAATAGCCGTTTTCGTTGTTCGGAGTTAACTCAAAAACTACTGCATAGATTTCAGTCGAATTTTCAAAGGTTATACCTTGCATATATGGTCCTATAGGCTACCAGAAAACTCGGTAGGTGGCGCCGGGGTCGAATTATTTATAAAAATCGCATTTGTGAACCGATTTATTTTAAATTCGAAATGTAAGCTACCAGCATGATGGCAAACACGTTTACCAAAAATAGACCCGCTAGGTGGCGCGGAAGTCGAGTTATTTATAAAAGTCGTATTTATGAACCGATTTCTTTCAAATTCAAAAGGCATAGTTTCAGCATAATGGAAAATACGTTTACCAAAAACGGAGCCGCTAGGTGGCGCGGGAGGCGAGTTATTTATAAAAGTTGTATTTATGAACCGATTTCGTAAGCATGATGAAAAAAGCACTTGCGAAAAACGGACCCGCTAGGTGGTGCTGGAGTCGAGATTATTATTATTATTTATTGTTAGCGTAATATAAAATATTAAGCTACCATAATACAGCACACTAGCTACCAGGGCCTACGGTGCGTTTTTACTAATTAAAATATCTTTTTATGTAAATTTACATATGTAAATTTGCCTATGTATTGCTATATTTTAAATATTAATACTGAAATTAATGATTTTAATATAGTTGACTATGGCTTTGACATTGCTGTAGTTTATTTCATTTAGGAGGAGAGATGGTGGTGTTGAATCAAACGCTTGCGTACGTATAGTATTTAAGGCTTGACACTCATCTAGTATATGTTTTGCAGAGGGAAATTCTTGACAAAATGGGCATGAAGCTGGACTTGCGCCGTTGAGGAGGTGGCCATGCGACAGCCTTGTATGACCAAGCCGGAGGCGAAGGAATATGCTGATTTCCCGTCTGGATAAACTATAGTGATAAATGGATTTTTTGCAGTTCGGATTGATTCCTGTGTATCTATGCTGAAACTTCGCCCATTCCACCATTTTTGAGTTGCGCCAATGCATAAACAAGTATTTATTCAAGTCCCTGGGAGATGATGTCATGAATGATATTAAAGGTGATAAGCTTGCTTTTCTTGCCGCTTCATCAGCGTGCACATTCCCTGGGATGCCTTTGTGCCCAGGAACCCAGAAANACGCACCAATTCATACTGCGCGCACTACAAAAGAGTTCTTTGCATCCAGGAATATACCGGTTTTAGAGTGGCCAGCCGTCAGCCCTGATCTAAATCCGATTGAGGACTTGTGGGGGATACTATCGAACAAAGTTTACAAGAATGGTCGGCAGTTTGACACGATTAAGCAGCTAAAAAATGCGTTATTAAATGAGTGGAATGAAATAAGTGTTACAACATTACAGCAATTAGTGAACTCCATGCCAAATAGAGTCAGTCAGGTTTTTGTGAAAAAAGGAAAACATATAAATTATTAAAAAAATAAAACAAAAACTTAATGAATCTAATTATAATTTAATATACATTACCATGCACATATACTTATTTCCTAAAGTATATTCATATTTAGCTTTTTATTTTTTTTAAGGAAGCACATTGAAATGCAGTTAGTTTGTGTTTTGTTACTAATGGTTACTACTTCAAAATAAAACTATGTTGAAATATTTAATATAATGCCCAGCTGGTTTTTTTCGGATTATATAAATGCACATATACTTATTTCCCTGAGGTATCTTACCGCATAACTTTGGACCACGTCACCGATTCGATAATTCTTTTTGCATCGGAAAGGTAGTGTCTCAGAGGTGGTCCCATACTAATCTGGTTAAGATCCGATCAGCGGATCATGAGATATATATATTTTTTTTATATAGGAGTTGAAGTCGGTTTTTTTTTTTTGCTAAAAATTACTAGTATGTATGTAATCTTCCTTATCCTGAGTTTCCCCGAAAAAAAAAATCACGCGAAAATTTTGATTCCCCCCATAGTAAGTACTTGGAAACCAAAAGTGAAAAGTGAACCGGTTCAGGGTAGATAAAACTCATGATAAGGCTGAATATGTTTCGAATGAAAAAATAATAATATCATGAAAGTAATAAACGTTTCGAATGTGTATTAACAAAATAGTTTCATAAATACTTTTACATACTGCTTTTATAAATATCTCGACTCCAGCACCACCTAGCGGGTCCGTTTTTCGCAAGTGCTTTTTTCATCATGCTTACGAAATCGGTTCATAAATACGACTTTTATAAATAACTCGACTTCCGAGCCACCTAGCGGGTCTATTTTTGGTAAACGTGTTTGTCATTATGCTGGTAGCTCACATTTTGAATTTGAAAGAAATCGGTTCATAAATACAACTTTTATAAATAACTCGCCTCCCGCGCCACCTAGCGGCTCCGTTTTTGGTAAACGTATTTTCCATTATGCTGAAACTATAACTTTTGAATTTGAAAAAAATCGGTTCATAAATACGACTTTTATAAATAACTCGACTTCCGAGCCACCTAGCGGGTCTATTTTTGGTAAACGTGTTTGCCATCATGCTGGTAGCTTACATTTCGAATTTAAAATAAATCGGTTCATAAATACGATTTTTATAAATAATTCGACTCCGGCGCCACCTACCGAGTTTTTTGGTAGCCTATAATAGGACCATATATGCAAGGTATAACCTCTGAAAATTTGACTGAAATCTATGCAGTAGTTTTTGAGTTAACTCCGAACAACGAAAACGGCTATTATTTTATATATATAGATTATAGGCTACTAGAAACACGCTGATGGCGCTGGAGTAGAATTACTTATAAAAGTCGTATTTATTAACAGATTTCGTTCAAATTCGCAGCGTGACTACCTGCATGATGAAAAATT